GGGAATGTGACGAGATACAAGAGGTTAGGTCTGTCTCGATCTGTTGATCTGCGTTCTCAAAGAGCAATTTACATTCTGAATTTCTGAGTAACTGAAGTGAAAACATGTGAAAAGTAATGCCACAGCATACCTGGCAAAACCAAGGGTCAGAGAGTCTGAGCGTCTGTCATTTAGTGAGTCTTATTTCACTAGTTTTATAATACTTGTCATCATTGTGAGTTATTGTGGTTTTTTGCTTTTTGTCAGAGATGCAGTGACCGTGCTTGTACTGATTGCAGCGAGTTCATGTCAACTTCCTGAGTATTTGTGAAAGGAAATGCAGGAAATCCCTCATTAAAGTGGCTTGAGTAAGAATGGATATACCAGATCACTTACATCATGGAGCGTAGTGGAGCTGGTGATGAGCAGGAATGTGTGAGGGTTTCTCCTGATAGCATCACATGGTTCATCAAATGACTCACCCTTCATCTGTTCTGTGTGTTCAGACGTGTGGCAGCAGCTGACTTGAGTTGAAGGTTTGCGCTGACTGAGTGCACGTGTGAGTGTCTGTGTGTGTGTTTGTGTGTGTGAGACAGAAAACTCCACACGCGATCTATAACCACAGACCGCTGAATCAATCGATTAAATGTGTGTGTTATCACAGGGTTCTCTCATTGAAACAGGACATCAGATTAATGTCAGAGACATACCACTGTCTGACCCCACAGTCTGATAAAAGGGAAGACATGATCACACACAGCACAGACTCATCTACAGCTCGGGGGCGGTGCCATTTTTGCACTTTTTTTAAACACGTTTTCCTCAAAGTCAGCGGAAAACATCATTAGGTCAAGGAAAAGCTTGAAAAAGAAAAATATTTATGACTACTACCAGCCTGGATGAAGACACCCACATCACAGAATTGTTTAATAGTAATGGTGCTGACGGCTGTTTCCCACAGTCAGAGAAACCACTGACCACTGAAAAATAGCTTCAGAAACTTCAGTCATATTCAGTCAACTTGTCACAGGAAAGTGGCTGTGTTTTTTTCACCGAGACATTGCTGTGTTTTGTGCCACGATAGTGCCACATTAGTGCCATGAAAAGTGACTGTTTTTACTGAGACATCACTGCGTTTCCTGCCGGGATAGCGCCATAGTAGGTGGTTGTTTTCAACAGAGACAGTGCTGTTTCCTGCATTAGTGCTACGAAAAGCAGCTGTTTCTTACAGAGTAGTCACTGCATTTCCCCCCTGGATAGTGCCATGATAAGCAATTGTTTTTAACATAGACATCAGTCCATTTTCCTGCCATAATAATGCCAGGAAAAGCAGTTTTTTTTTAACCGAGACATCGCAGCATCTCCCGCCTGGATAGTGCCACGATAAGCGATTGTTTTTAACATAGACATCACTGAGTTTCCAGCCAGGCTAGTGCCACAAAAAGCTGTTGTTTTTAACCATGACATGGTGTATTGCCTGCTGGGATAGTGCCAGGAAACTCGGTTGTTTTTAACCAAGACATTGCTGCCTTTCCTGTTGTGGTAGTGCCATGAGCACTATTTTTAAGCGAGACATCACTCCATTTCCTGCCAGGGTAGTGCCACGAAAAGTGCTGTGTTTTCTGCCAGGATAGCGAGACGAAAATCCAGATATATATCGCTGCTTACCAACCAGGATAGTGCCAGAAAAAGTGGTGTTTTTTTTACAGAGACATTGCTGGGTTTTGTGCAGGCGAAGTGCCACGAAAAGAAATTGTTTTTAACAGGGACATCATCGCATTTCCTGCCAGGATAGTGCCGCAAGCAAGACATCGCTGCATTTCCTGCATTTGTGGCATGAATAGCTGCTGTTTTATTACCAAGAGATTGCTGCAATTCCTGCTGGCATAATGTCACGATAAGTGGTTGTTTTTAACATGAACATGACTGCATTTCCGGTCGGGGTAGCGCCACGAAAAGCAGTTGTTTTTTAAACCAAGACATTGCTGTTTCCTGTCGGGGTAGCACCATGAGTGTCTGATTTCTGAGAGTGTAAGGTAATATATGATCAGATGCAACAAAATGTGGATTTATCCTCAGTACATTTGGGATTTCACAGCGATGAGAGTGCTGTTGACATGTTTTCTTTCTCTGTGTGTACAAACATGTATTTCTGATGCGTGGACACTGGACAGGCTAATCCCCTTGTACAGTAGTGTCTTGGTGGGCCTCCTGTCAGTCTGGATGCTGTGGGTTTAACAGCAGGCCACCTGCTTTCTCAGCAATAAGGAGCAGCACAGAGGGAGGTCTGGTTCAGGGGGTGTAAAGAGGATTTTTAGGGTTAATTTTGGGGCAGAATGGTCTTTGCATGTCTGGAAACAGTAGGCCAGGAGTAGAGGTTGCATGTGCATACTTGCCAATAAAAGCTCTTACTAACATATACCATCAGGCCCAAGGACTTAATTGATGGATCAGAGCATGGATAAATAATGGCGGTCCATACTTGTGCCTCCAAACATCAGCCACAGTAAAAATAGACAAGGTTAATCCGCGTGTGATCCCCCGGCCTCAGAGTACATCCTGTCCCCGCAGCGGCATGCTTGAAGAAAACACCTTTTGTCAATGAAACAGGATTTGCGAAAGTGCCATCTGGACAGGAGCTCTGTCTCCACGCAGCGTCTGATCCACCGAGCCAGCCAGCCACTCCGAGGTCAGGACGTGGGATCAGATTGACCTGAGGACGGAGAGGAAGGAGGGTGGAGGACAGAGGAGGGCAGGTTGAGGTCCTCTCAACAGACATTAGATCAAGGAGCTCAATTAATTAGATTTCGTCCCAGGACATCCAAACTGAAGCTCTTTATTGTCCCCGGGTTACATTTTTTATCAAACCGGGGCATAAAAAAACACAAAGATTTTAAATGGAATAGATTAAAATCAAATTCAGTGGTTTGTTTTCAGTAAAACAAGTGGAAAAGACCTGGTTTTGACTGCCTGAACTGAGAGGAAATTGAGCTTCTCTGCAGCCGAGCAAGAGGGAAAGTGTAGCCTAGAAAACGTTGCTAAAAATATCCCACTGAGCTGCTGTACCTCGAGGTTACAATTTGGCCTTGAAAATCAAAGTCTGCTATATTTTCTTGCTGTAAATGTTCATGTATGTGCCTGGTTTCTGCTGACTTGAATCAGTGTGGTTCATTTTGCTCTGCAGCTTTGCTGTTTTACACTTGGATGTGAAGACGTGAATCACAACAATTTGAACTACTGAATCTTTGCACAAAGAGTCACAGCAACTGTTAGGGTGAATCATTGCACTCGAGGCGACGTCTTCAAATGGTGTTTGATCCATGTAGTAGTCCAAAAATCCAAAGATAATCAAAATAGTATCATGACTGACAAAGAAGGCATTAAAGTCTCAAAATTTAAGCAGCATAAACTTAGCAAATGTTTGGCTTTCTGCTTCAAAATTACAAAAATGATTAGCCTATTAGTCTATTGAAATAGCTGCCAATCCATGTGCAGAGTGCAATTGCTTCTGCTGCATTACCACATACTAAGTGGAGTATAAAGGGTTATAATGTTCAGTTTTTGTTGCAACTGTCACACTATGTGCTCATTTTATTGACCTTTATTCAATATTTAGTCCTCTCTCATTTACATAAACCTTAATGAAGGTGGATTTATTGCACAGCTGTTGTATTCAACTGTATCGATCTTATTATACTAAATAAACTGGCACCTGACTGTATGTTAATATATTATGGTCTGGGTTATACAGGACAGCGAAGCAAAGGTGTCATTTCAATATTATACTGGGGGCGCACATATTCTCAAGATGGAGGGAGACATGTCCCCTGTGTCCCCCCCCCAGAATCTACGACTATGCAGTTAAGTATGGTTTCAGTGAGATGTATCAGCAGTGTGGCTTTGCTATAGAGTCTGCATGAGTATATGTAGCATATACTGAAACATCTGTACATGTTGGGAGGAGATTATAAATATGATTTATAATAATCCAATCTTAAATTTTACATTAATACTACAGAGACATCACAGCAGAACTATAAATCTGTAGATTAAAGGCTGACTGTATGTATGCATGTGTGGTTGGTATCATTTTGTGTGTAATAAAGTAATATTTTAATAATAAGTCTAATAGCACTGTATTTTTTTCTGTCCCTATAAAATACTTTTGTAACCTCTGGTTCTGAATGCTACATTAAATACATGTATTAACATTAGTGTCCTCATTTAAATATAATAGGGATTAGCTTTCTAACTGTCACGTGTTCATTTTATTGCCTGTTTTTTATTTATTGTTTTAAACAAGAGGCCCCTACATGTGTAATAAAACACAAACAGGGTCTGTAATGTATATATAAAGTTAAACACTACAATTTAAGGCGTTCTTTTCGCTAATTTACGGCCAAAAAACACCAAAAATCGTCGTTATAAATCTGTTTTTAGCTCTCGCTCTCATGACGTCGTCCTATATGTCCGCGCGCTCCCGTCCGCGCGTCCTCCACACCAGCGTGCAGGTCCACGTGCGGTGGGCGGAGCCACCGTCAGATGCACGTGAGGGGGCTCGGTCGTATAGAACCAATGAGACGTCCACATGTGACATAAATATTTACATAGGGGGACGCTTCTGCGCATGCGGGATAAAGTCTAGCGAGGCAGTAGCCTGTTAAGTATTTTAACTGAGATGTGTGGGTGGACTGGGAGGCTGTGGGGGTTATTGATCAGCTGGGAAATGTGGAGGAGAGAGGAAACAAGCTATTTTATCTCTATATGGTGGAATTTAAAAGCTTATTTGTGGTTAAACTATATTTTTGCCCCAATTTTATGACTTAAATTCAGAGTTTTAAGGTTTCCAAAAGGAGAATATGTTTAAATTTATTATATTTTTATGATTAAAATTAAACTTTCACCTACATATTTCTTCAAAAGGCACCAGTCCTCTTCTAGTAAACCTGCTACAGGTCAGACTCATCTCTAAAACCCCAAATCATGACATTATTAAACAGGAAAAACCGAAACAGTCCAGATTTCACTTTTTCGTTTTCATTTTTTATTTGAGGTGCAACTGTCTAGTGCAATTGTAACGTCACATTTGTGATGGGCTGAGGAACATGCACAAAACATCGACATACTTCTGCTAGGCATTTTCCTTTGTTTTTGTTTTTTCTAAATTCAAATCTCGCCAAGTGTCTCATCATAATTCGTGTTCAGCGCTCCAGTTGCACAGCGAGCAACTCCAAACACTTGGCTTGTACAAAAGACAAAAAGAAAAAAAAACAAACAAAAAAAACAACAAAAAAACAATATCACACGTCCCCAAAAAAAAATGGTCAAACAGTCCAGATAATTTGAGCGAGTGAGTTAAGCGACGGCAGAGGAGAGTTCACGTACAGTACGAGGCCGTGTGTCACTGCAGGAGAGACAGCATCTTAGTGTCGAGGTAAATGATCCTCTTGTGTTCCCACCCTGAGTAATGACATCACAGGTAGTTCAAAACCTGGTAAACCATAGATATATATATCTATACATATATTTACACATTGAATAAAACAACTAAAAAAAGCTTATATATGTATCTATGGTTAGAAACCAGGCACTTGGCAGAATTTAACTGGAAATTTTTTACAAAGTTCACTACCTAGAAACAGTCATGTCCTACTTATTTGCCTTCCCATCAATTATTTTTACAGATCACTATAGTAACATCAACAAAAACAGACAAACACAAACCTTTCCCTATAAAAACCTTGATTCCCTGCATAAATGTTTGACGCTCCATCCACAAACGGGTGAGTGAAGGGTGGGGACGGCTACGTGAAAAAGAACAAAGAGCTCTCAAAGTGAACGATGAGGCGCACATAATACATATTTCAAAATTCTTTATAAGCCCCGTCTCAAACCCAGAACATCACTACGACATCATCGGCTCCCATTCCAGATGGGTCGTACGAATCTTTAAGAGTTCGTCCACCGCTTCGTCTGAAAAAAAAGTGCAGCACTAAAGAAATTAAAAATAAAACAGTAAAAAAATGTAAAGTGTGCTGATGGAGAGTGCTGGGCTGAGGTGGGGGCAGGGTGACGATGGCACACGTTCCACAGGTCACACAGCGAGGGATTCAACAGCACTGACAAGAGCATGCGGCGTACTCCCCATGATTGGCCAGGTCTCATGTTTTAGCGCCTTCCTCTGAACAATGGCGGCAGCTCAGTTCCTGTCAGCTCCCCTCGTTATCACCATGATGACGATTGTCTGAAGCACATAATAAAAGCGGACACACACACACGCACACACACACCGGTGCAACTCCAAAGTCTTTCAGTTAAATTAAATGTGCAACAAAAGAAAGTTTGTCCTCCGGTTTAAGTTGACGTGTGCGCTCCTCGAGACGGTGGCATAGTCGGTCTTGATGCTAGAGTCAGTTCACAGTATGGCAAGACTCCTTCCTCCTTCCTCCTCCTCCTCCTCCTCTTCTTCTTTTTCCTCCCATCACCCCTGTGTCTCATCCTCAGGGGGCTCTCCAGTGTGCAGCTTCTGTGTTACGCAGACATACCGGAGCTCTGTGTGGAGGGGAGGGCTTGTATGGTTCCGGCAGAGACCGGCACCGGAGGCTGGGCAGCGCCAGTCGGGGAGCCGCCGGTCTGGACCTGCGCCTGGAACTGAGCCATCTGCTCGGGGCTGGCCAGGTTCTTGAGCAGGTTGTTCTCCTGCTCCAGCTGAGTGTTGCGCTCGATCAGCTCTTTGATCTGCTCCTTCAGCACCTCCACCTCCTCGCGCACGGCGTACATCAGGTGGCTCTTGACCAGGTCCTGAGGACAGAGGGAGAGAAGGATGGAGATGGTTAGATACAAACCACAGTCCTGTTTGAGACCATGAACACAACAAAACGCCACATACGTCTTTTTATTTTTCAAGTTAAATCACATGAGAACTAAAATATTAATCAGTGTAATCAGCAAATCATTTTATAACGGACACGTTTCATGGTTTAACTTGTGTTTTCATGCTGCCTTACTGCCTCTTGTGGGACAATAAAGATCTAAAGTGAAGCTTAAGTGCCTAATGTTTGCCAGTTCCTGCTTCTCACAGTAGAGCTGCACAAATAATCTCATTATTATCGAAGTCACAACATGGCCAAGTGCCATATTCAAATAACAGCACGTACCATTATAAATGAAGCACTGTGGTGCCTATAAATCATACTCCAGACGTAAGGGAACGTGCTTGTTTGGTACAGACACCAGTGAAATTGGAATGAAAAAGTTGCCTTTCCCACAAAAATTGTGACTCATGTTACAATATCTGTCAGAATAATCACTTTTTTTCTTGTCTCAGTTTTTTGGCAGCCCTACTCTAATTTATATCACTGTAAATTTAATATTTTGGGGTTTTGGACTGTTGGTCAGACAAGGCGAGATATTTGAGGGCGTCACCCCGCGCTCTGCAGGATTTTTACAGGCTTTTTTTTTTTTTTTTTTTACTTTTTTAAGGCTAAATCAATTCTTATCAATTAAATAATCAGTAGTCAATTAGCTGACCATGATGTGAATTTTGACTGGCTTTTTTTTTTTTTTTTGACATTTTGAGGCTTAATCAAATTCTTGTCAAGTAATGGACCAAGATGTCAATTAACTGGAAATAAATACAGCTATTTTGATAGTTGATTAATTAATCACAGTAAACATAATGTGGTTCCAGTTTCTCAAATGTTAAGATTTACTGCTTTTCTCTCATTTATATCATTATAAAAATTATATCTTGGGAGTTTTGTTGGTCAGACAAGACAAGACAAGACAAGACAAGACAAGACAAGACAAGACAAGGTATCTTGACTGAAGCATAAAGAATAGGGTCAATTGTTATGGCTGGAGTCATTACAGCTGCTGGAACAATACTCTGGTTATTAGAAGTCAACGAAACCCCCAGAAATTAAAAAAAAAAAAGGGTCAGCTCCATGACAAAACCTGCCTCGTACGAACCCATGCTGATGAGGATGACTAACCATGCTCAAGGACCAATCTGGGGGGATTTTTGGAATTATTTTGCACTGTCTGGGGGCCTGGAAGTGTGATTTAGATTGTTGTTTGGCGGACTGGGACTGGTGTTGTACGTTCTCTTGTACGGACATCTATCATCCTGTATGTATTGTATTTTTATTTTGTTTGTCAAGACTGAATGTCTCATTTGACATGACAATTATACATAGAAAATAAAGAAGAATAAAGTCAATTAACTGACCGACATGTCGATAACGTGGTTTCAGATTCTCAAATGTAAGAATTGGCTGATTTTCTGTGTTTAATCTAATCTCAGCCTTTTGGCGAAAAATTTGAGAAGTCTTTGGTAAAGCGAAATTTTCTAGACTAGACGGGGACCAATACATGACTAATAATCACCAGATTAGATCAATAAATATAAATAGCTGCAGCCCAATCACTCACTCCATGATTCATGCACACTTCTTGCCTTCTTAAACCATCTATGGTCTAGTCTATTTTTATAAAATGTACTTTGGCTGGTCCACATTGTTTTTGACTCTAAATATAAATCTAGTGACCACGAGAGACTTCCTCCTGGCAAAAAAATTAACTGCAGGAAAAATGACTCAGAAACACGACTGACTCAAAACCATGCTGGCAGGGACTAGCGCACAAAGCTGATTCTGCACCATATATCAGATCACAGTCCTGCACAGCACGTGCACTGATGACAGGTGGAAACATGCAGGAAAAGGTGTGTTTTCAGAGGAGAAGCAGCTGTGCTGGTGCCCGAGCTGTGTGCTGTGTGCTGTGCCAGCCTGCTGAAGGAGGATTTAATAATCTGAGCATCCCCTCCTCTGTGGCCCCGCCCCTCCTCCTCCTCCTCCTCCTCCTCCTCCTCCTCCTGGTACGCAGAGAGGGAACAAAATGTTCCTGCACCGGGGTGGGAGGAGCCAATCACCGGCAGAGTTATTTATACTGAGCCGCGGGGAGGCTGCTGCTCGCCTAGCAACACGGGACAGAGAGGAGGGGGGAGAGGGCTGGGGAGGGACTGTGGATGTATATGCATGAGAAGGAGCGGGGATAGCGTGTGAACCTCAACCTGCCCCACATCGAGCTGTGAGCCAGGGGTCATCAGTCTGAGTCGTGACAGAGCGGAAACTCCTGTTGCCTTGAATCCATCATAAAGTGGCAGGTGCATGTGTGCAGAAATGTGCCTCATTTCTAACAAAATTCCTCTCTAGAAATGCACCATTCATTCATTCATTCATTCATTCATTCATTCCTCAAGATGACCTCATGATAAAGACACAATAATAACCTACAAATATGATTTACTAGGAAAGCAAAAGATGCCAAAATAAAAGCATAAAGGAGGGCTACAGCTGCGTGAGTCCACGTCGGTGCCTGTCTTACATAACACTGCTCTGACATGCATGTAAAGCAACACACAGGCCTATTTACACACTGGATAATAGATGCTTACCATCGCTTGTTCAATCTTGTTGTCAATGGCCACCACACTTGCGCCGGAAGAGCTGCAAAGACAGAAAGACAAACAGGTTAATATATATAAGCAAAACAGCAGAATATCTGATGATGAGCTGAGTGCTGCAGGGTGGGTTTGATGTCTCCATCCAGAGACGTGACTGCGGGTTTTATGGTGCCAGATCACAAGTAAAGACACCCTGAGGTGTCTCGTTATGAAGCTGTCAGGACGTAGAATAAAAGGAATGTCTGCGGCAGAGCAAATGGAGGTCGCGCAGAGCTTTGACTCTGATGGCGGAGGATCAATGAGCCGCACATCAGCGCAGATTAGACAGTGAGACATTGCAGTGCGCAGAGAGCTGGGTGACACATTACCTATTGTCAAGCCTGACTGATGCACTCTCCTTCCCGAGCACAGAGGACAGAAACGATATCGAGAAATTCCTCAGTTGACAAACGCCAAGATCCATCGCCACTGTGTAACATTGGGAATTCATGCTATCCAGCCCATCGAAACCCTCAGAGAAGAGTGTTCGGCTGCGCTAACCGGAACCCCAGCGGTAGAAAAGTAGAAAAATAGCGCATTATTGAGCGCACAATCTGTCTGCTCTCCGTGCGGCAGCAGAGCTCGCAGCCGGGACAGCGCACACAAAGACTGAGCGGCGGGCTGCAGCTCCGCGCACCGCGGCTCTCTGTCTGGATAATACATGCAGGGGAACGGCGCCAGCTGCAACGTGATTGGCTGAGGAGGGCGCTCATTAGCATAATATATGCGTGGGATCGGCTCTGATTGGAGGAGCGGTTGCTCATGGGAATAATTTATGTAGCATCTCTCTACCTGCTACCGTCCTCTATAAAAGCCCGCATCCAACCGCGCCACCACAGAGGGACTGCCTCATCACTATATGATCGCTACATATACAACAGCGGACATTTTACTTCAAAGTGTCTGTTTGATCCTCTGTTTAACACAAATATGCGGCCTTATTGTTTCCTGCTTCCTGCAGGTGATGGGGAAACTTTGCCTGACACAATGTCTCCACCTACCGGTCATGTATTAAGGGGTCACACACACAAAACAAGGTGACACTCACACACAGACTTCATTGTAACATGAGTGATCAATTGACCCTGTGTTCAGGCTGACCTGGGCACAGTCCAGCTGTGACTGTGATTAAACATTTACGCTGATGGTGAGGTGTCAATACAAGAGTCAGATATCAGCAGAAACAGTAGAAGCCCCTTTGTCCTCTTTAGATGAGTTTGACTGACTGAAATGGGAACACGCTGTTCTTTACAATAAACCAGGACTGCCCCTCTGTCCTCTATCAGGCTCTATCACAAGCTGTGATATGTGTGTGAATGTGTCTGAGATGTGTGACAGAGCTGATGAAATCAGCAGGAAATTAACAGCCAACAATTCTGATAATAAATGACTTGTCAAAGTCATTTATCAAACTGCAAATATTTGCTGGTTTTAGCCACTCGAATTTCAGCTTCTCTCTGTTTATATTGTTATATATGTAGTATCTCTGGTGTTTGGGACAGTTGGACAGACAAAAAATATTATATTTAAAGACACCACGTTGGAGTCAGGGATACTGTTATGGCCAACCTTTACTAGTTTCCGACCTTCTATAACCTGAACGATTAATCAATTGATCAAAAAATAATAACTGAAAGATGAATAGATGATAAAAAATAGTTACAGCCTCATCCCTCAGTTTGTCCACTTGAGCAAAGAACAAACTATATCATCTTGTATCTACACATCCTCAGGTTTGGAGACAATCACAGTCAAAATTTTTAATTTTTTATCAATTAATCTGCTGTTAATATTGCCAACAATTTTGATAATCAATTAATTGTTTCAGTAGTTTGTAAAGAAAATGTCACAAAATGTACTGGTTCCAGCTTCGAAAATTTGAAAATTGGCTGCCTTTCTTTGTCATTTATGACAGTAAATGAAGAGTCTTTGGGGTAAAAAGAGAACTGGCCAGCTCACTCAGTGTATAAGTCCACAGTACAGACAGGCAGTCTAAAATGCATCCATGGCACTCTGACTGGAGTTTATCCATGTATTTATAAAGGACATCAAAATAAGAGTGTGTATCATCATGATAAGATGATAAGAGTATGTATGTATAATATGATGTGTATTCCATCACAGAAGAGACTTCATGATCACTAAAATTAAGTGGGGAAAAAGTTGAAATATCAGTATCAGTTATCAGCCAAATGCGTTGTCAAAAAATAAATAAATAAAAAAAGGCAAAGAATCCAATACTGTGCATCCCTAAATTAAAGATACCACTTTGAGTTGTGAGAAATTGTGTGAGCATTTTTCTGGACATTTAGTAGACTTATAAAATTATTTTCATTATCAGTTAGTCAATGAAATGTCAAAAATTGTGGAAAAAAACCCAACAACAATCCAAAACCCAAAAGACTCTTCATCGACTGTCATTACACCAAAGGAAAGCAGCAAATTCTCATCAGCAGATTGGTCAATAATGAAAATAATCATTAGTTGCAGCCGTACAATAATTAGACAAGACCTTGTTTTATGTGACCAACAGTATAAAAAAGATATTCAAGCTTACAATGATATAAAATGGCACATATTAAAAAGTTTCCCTGAGAAATGACTTAAATGATTAACTGATTATCAAAACTTAAAGACTAGTTTTCTGTCTGTCATCTAATCAGTTTGTCAATCTTTTTTGCACAAAATTGATCAAAACTGCATGAAAATATGTTTAGTAGAGCTGAAACGATCAGTTATTCTATCAGTTTTTAAAGATAAAATGACAAAACTTAATTAGTCCCAGAATCTAAAACATAAATATTTCGTAGCCATCTTATTTTTTGATAATATTAAACTGAATATCTTTTTGGACTGTTGGTCGGACACACGTGATCTGAAAACTTGTGATGGAAATTTCTCAAAAGACCTTTCAAAAAATAATCAGGAATGTAATCTGCAGATTAATTAATAATAAAAGTAGTAGTTGCAGCCCTAATTTTAAGATCTGCCGTACCTTTGAATAGTCTAAAAACCTGTTGTGATATACATTAATGAAGCATGTATAACTAACTACACACAGGGCAGATTTTTAATCCTTTATTAGTTACTCAGAGGGCATGACTGACACTAGCAGCTGATCTTTCTAAATGTTTAACTTTATCTTAACCTATAAATCACTTATTACACTGCTGTGTGTGGGTGGACTGATGCCGTCATCATGGAAACAGTTCAGATATACAGCCCACAAAGAAAACGAAGTACATTTATTGTAAACAGTCTGAAAAGACTGAAACTAAAACGAGCCTATCCGCTACAATCAGGGTGTGGTTTGTTTCTCCTGACACATTTTAATTTCATCAGTATACCTGCCGCTCATTCACACCTTCCACTGACTTTGACCGGACACGTCAGAGCTGCAACAGTAAAGCGTTAAGTGTCAGGATCTCTGACCCGCACGTCAGGAGCTGCTTTCAGACACCTTTAAGCACCTTAGCTGTGCTTATATCTGTCTCTGGCTAGAACATTCATTGAGTCAGGAAGTGGAAGTGTGTTAACATGGGAGATCAGAAACATGTCAGAGGAGACAAAACCCTCAACCTGCTCATATCTTTGTTCTTTAGGGCCTAACGGTTAAGGGAACTTTGGCGGGATGAGTGATTTTAGAGAACTGGAACATAACGTTTGTACTGAGTTCTCCTTTTTTATCTTCCACAGGGAGCAGTGTCACATGAACGCACTGCTGTACAGACCCTTTTCATATATGCTTATGCGAAGAGAAAAATATGACACACTGAAGAGAAACTGGGTGTTGGATGCAGACCAAAAGTAGTTTGTCACCTGTAGGAAAATGTGTTTTTGCAGATTTGATGTTGGACAGGATATTGGTTTATTGGGCTTGGGAGATTGAAGTCTGTTAGTGGCGTGATAACTGATCAAAGGGAAGCAGATATGGGCTGACTGGAGCGATTGAGGAAGTGGAATATGGCACTTATTATCTCTGGCAGTTGAGATTGGAGTGAAAAATGAAAATGAAAGCAGGCAAGATAAAGTTTTGGTCTGGATCTGTGCAGGGCCACGTTACAGAGAACGCACATCAGCCCGCCTCTAACAACATGCATGTGCAGAAGCAAGAACATTGTGTCCTTGAACACACTGATAGCCCTTCAGGGGCTGCTGAGCGGCCGTATGCACGCACAGAGGTGATGTTCCTTTCTGCAGGTAGAGACACTCACATGTTCCTGGATAAATGCTTCGATAACTTGAATATTTCTCCCTTGGCAACACACAGAAAACAATCAACTGGACACTACCACAACAATCAGACAGATACATCGACACAAAGCCCCTCGTTTAATCCCTGACCCCCCACCATGCCGCGGCCGCCCCTGACAACATGACAACACCACAGCCATCGTTACCTCTTCAAATGCTTCTCCAGCTCCCAGAAGAGCAGCTTCAGGGCCATGGCGTCCCTGCCCTGCACTCCTCCTGCCCCGGCCAGCCCCTTCTCTCTCATTGAGGCTAAAACACACACTCCAAGCAAACCAGAGGGCCCCCGCGCCCACCCTACCGAAAACACCCCAAAACAAACACCAACACCACTCCTCCGTCCTCCTGACCTGCGCCCTTTTGGCCCCGACCCCCTGCTCCCCTCAGCTGTGGGAGATTCACATAGGGGGAGCCTGACCAACAATGGAGGACGGGGAAGGGAGTGTGTGTGGGTACAAGGGGAGTCCTACTGATCGCCCCCTTACTAAGCCTGAATCACGTATGGACTCTCAGACGATTGGGTGCACGGTGCGGGGAAATAGCTGGGTGGGGTGTGATGTCACTGAGTCATGTCACCTCCCCTTCTGTTGTTATATAAACTGTCAGTGGAGATTAGGGCGATCCTTCCAATGGGATGAGCTACTTTCAACCACACACCCTGCTAGCACACTAAGAGCCGCCTGCAAGCCACTCCCTTCCCTTCCTTCGTTTGTTTCCTGCAACATCCCCTCTGTGATGGAGATGGGCGCAGGA